AATGTGTAAATATGTGTGTGAGCGGGTACTGGAAAACAGCCTAAGTTCCTCGCCATAGAGTACTTGATAGAGGAGTTTTTGGTCATATTGACTCTTGTGGAATCATTGTCTCGGGTTAAAGACATCAACGGAATTGTCAGTACGTCATATAAGCTTTCATCATTTAAAAACTTTACAACTGAAATAACTTTTTTTCAATTTTACAAAACAAACCTTTTTTTGGTCTGAAGTATACCATATTCATCATTCATGGAATAACTGGTTTAAGAATAAGTTGGAATAATGAGAACTGGTCATATTTATTAAAAGGCTGATTAAAGGCAAAGGGTATGACAAGAAAACTGGCGGTGTTCAAGGATACGATGATTAGAATGAAGGTAACAAAATGAATGTACTTGACAGATGGAAGACTTTTACTATAGAATGATGCATAAAAGTATTGTCCTTTTCCTTATGACTAGACATTTTTTATAATGCCAAAATAAAAAGCACAGAAAGAAACAACAGCAACGTAAAAGCAATCAACATTTTATTCCAGAACCAACGACCTCAACCGGTGTGTGTGAGCGACCACGGATTTTTCCACCAGGGAAACGTCTATGTTGTCATCAACGTCGAGGACAATGGCACGGTGTTTCTCCACACATGGCAAGGACGTCTCTCGCAGAAGGTACAGTTGTAGGTTTTTTTTCTGTGGACTCCAAATCGTAGTGATTCTTAACAGTCAGGGTGTGAAAAAGTTATTGAATACTGGTAATGCTCCATGAAGATCAATATGTCACTCTCATCATAAGATAATTGCCGTAGCCGTTTTGGTTCTGAAATGAAGAGCAAGCCAGCGTGGTAAATAAAAGTTCACTTGGACAAAAGAATAACTCAAATATAAAATCAATTGAGTGTACCAAACAAAATGCAAGCATTTCACAGAGTCAGTTGTTCGAAAGAAACAGTTTTTTTTTCATTTTCTCAAAATGGCTAAAATGACTTTAGCATTTATCTTTTATGAGCGTGACGATCATTACTTCTTTTAGGTTTTTCGTGGGCCTCCC